AGGGAATCCGGATGAGCTTTGGGTAGCCCACGAGCTCCGGTAACCCAAATATTAGGAACCAGTCTGGTGACTTGCGAAGCCGGTTACTGACCCGAAACCTCCTGGATCCGGTTACTGGTTCCGATTCTGTGTTTTGAGACTCCCCAAACCCAATGGTTCCTAGGTGTTGGGGGTTTACATGTAGGGCTTCCTCGGCGAACCGAGACGATGGGAAGATGGCGGCAAGCATGCTGGCTCATTTCATAGGGATTAAGTATATATGGGCAGTATGCAGGTCATGATTGAAGAGAGCTTTCCTCACAGATGCACGAGATCGTGTCGGTATTAACATGGCAGTAAGTTTTAACCGACATGTGGAGGTGTATAATATGTAGTTCAGCATCTTGTGTGATGCACGAGCATGCTTCGCTCTGGGTTGCTTGCGCGGGCCAAGCTCAATGCAAAGAGGAATCGTGCGCCCATCCTTTCCCCTGCTGCTTTTCGTGCCGCTAATGTGTGCTTGCTGCTTGTACATGTCTTGGCAGGTCATGTGGCTGCTGCTCATAGATCAAGAGCTAGCAGTATTGCGTGTGGAATGTCAGATTCGATTGGCCATATTTCAGCCAGCCTGCTAGTTAGTTTGGAAGGACGTACTGCAGCCATGGTTTGCAGTGCGGCTGCTGAGCCGGCTTCCGACGGGGCTGCCTCCGATCTTGTAGGTTCAGAGCCCAGTAGTGGGGGTGAAGAGGAAATCATCATACCCGAGGATGATCAAGAGCCACCCGGCGGCTGTGCAGTGAAACTATTCGCCATGTGTTGTCTAATAATATACGTGTAGTGAGACTTCTCATATGATCAGGATCGAGCAGCTGAAGGACATCTTGGATGAATGGTGTCGTGGACGTCCAGATGGGAGTGAGATTTCTAGGGCTGCCATCTTACGGCGGTCGCCCGATTCTTGTTTGCACCCTAGATGTGTACATGCTCCATCCGTGTACGTACTATGTGTCGATGGATCGAGTTATAAGGATCACGATCTCTATGAACCGTTTGATTTCATCAGTGATGAAGAAGTGGAGAAAGCCTTCCACATCTTGGCTCCCCTTGTGGCGGCCTTCGGCAAAAAGATTCCCAATGCGACCAAAATCAGGAGCGCCTTGTGCTGGCTCAATCGAGAGCATACTATTTGGCCCGTCCACACCAAGAAGAGGATCATCCGTGCCGCTAGTCTTATAAAATAGTTTTTCACGAATTTCGATTGTGACTGCATCTGAGGATTGGAGCCTATTCAATGCAGGCACCATCCGGGCCAGGGCTGTGTACCTGGTCCGGCTGTATCGAAAGACGCCCAAACGTTCCAGGCTGCTATCTTGCAAATTTATAGACGGTGCCTCAGAATGGACCCACGTGCCACCTGCTAAGGACGGAAAAGGTGCAAATCTTGAAAGATATTTTGGCCAGCTGGGATGACGACGGGGAGTCGGATGCGAGTGAGCTATCCGATTCGGCCCCATCCGATAGCGCAGACGATGGCTCGGATGCTGCATCTGTCGGGGGAGATGAAGAGATCTTGCCGGAAGGTACAAGTACTTAATTGGTGTCCGGACTTGAATATATGCATGTTGTGCTGGAAAGCTAAGGTGAGCCCGAGCCGGAGCCGAATGAGTCCAAGATCAGGAAGACCCGACCACCTGTGCCAGTTTTCGAGGCACTGCGTTTTTGAAGCTGTCTGATCGGGGGGGTAGTGTGTTGCGGGTGCGAGGGTGTGAGGGTAGATCTCTGTAGGCGGCATCGACAGTGGTCCTGGGGACAGCTGCTGTGGAGACCGAGGCGAGTCTTGGGAGATGTAAGTATGATCGTTATCTGCATGTGTCGGGCGGTTCAGTCGCCTGATGATTTAACATCTTGTTGCAGTGGTGTTGGAGGCAACAGGATCGCCAGTGGAGCCGACTGCCACGAAGGATGAGGAGATCATATGTCCTGTGAAGTTTTCGTTTCAATCTGTTTAAAAATATGCTGCAGGAGCCAGTCCCGATGGCCGAAGGACCACCAAAGGAGCTCACTGCTTTGGAGCTGCAGGAGAGTATGCAATTCATTTAAACGTGCGTGTTCGGGTCGAACTACATGTTGTTATGGTAGGAGCTGGAGCCAGAAGTTCCAAGCGACGATGGTATGGGTCACGGCAGATCCAGTGAGCAGGACAGCTTCCGAGAGGCTACACCGAGTACGCCATTAATTTTTCATTGTACTTGCAATCCTGCAGGACCACAAGCCGCTGGTCGATATGAAGAATGTGTCATGGCACAGTCCTCAAGTGCAGGCCTTGACAGAAGGCGCTGACGAGGAAGACTTGTTGAAGTTGCAAGCAAAGATGCCGCTTGAATGCAATTAGCGACATCGTAAGGCAGGAGGGGCATCTGTGTGCATCAAGCAGGCGAGATGCAGCGAAAGCACAGAACGTGGCGAAGGCAAAGGGCCGTGCCCGTGGGGGCCGTGGCCGTGGTGGTCGTGGCCGTGGAAAGAAGTGCTGCTGCAAAATATGTCCATTATCGCTCTGCAGCTTAAAAATGCGATGTCAGGACTGGTGCTGCTGCTGAGCCAGCAGTGGCAGTGACTCCGGATCCGCCAGCAGCTCCGAAGGCTAAGAGCAAAGCGAAGATGAAGCGGCCAGCGGCTGCAGATCACTCAAAGGAGCCGCCGTCGAGACCGACGCCTGATGATGTGGTCGATACCGATAAAGGTGCCAGGACATGTGTGTATATGTGTGTTTTCGGCAGGATGTTGGTCTCCATGAGCTCTAAATGCATGAAGGTGGCCCAAAGAAGCGATCGAAGAGCGATGACCAGATCAAGTATGCCCCGATGTTGCCCAAGCTGGACAATTACGTGGTACCATGTCGGAAGTTGTGCACCCCCGGAACCTTTAAGTGCTATATAGCTCATCAAGTAGATCTAGTTCCATCTAGCCGAACACCCGATGTCGAGGTGATGCCATATTGGTCCCGTCGTGAAGTCGGAGTTTGTCGCAAGCCCTCGAGCGAGAACCCCAACAAGCAGCAGGCCTGCTGCTGCTGCTCTATTATTATTATACTACTGCTACAGTACTCGTATTGCTACGACGACGACACTACTATATAGGACTAGTACTAGTACTAGTACTAGTACTACTACTACTACTACTACTACTATTATTATTACTACTACTACTAGTGCTTCTACTTCTACTTATACTTCTACT